ACCCCGGTATGCCCTACTCTGGCCATCATGCAACTCGCTCACCATTTGTTTGATTAAGGGCCTGTTTGGTGGCACTCCGCTCCACAGCTCTGCCCCGGGAGCGGACAGAGCTGTAGTTCAAAATCTTGAAGCGAGCAAACAGCCACTCCGTAGATTTTCGGAGCTGGTGGATTGCCGAACAGGTCATAAATCTCCGAACCGTTTATTAGACTTTTTCTCACATTTGTACAGACACGATGGATTCGTCCGATGAGGAGTTTGTTGACCCAGAGGATGATGAGTTTATTTAAAAAATTGTCAGTAAGTATAGTATCCGCATGGGGAACAAAGTAAGGGATACGTGTGTCTGCATGGTGTGTGCACAACGATGCGCATATGAATCTGCACGAACCGTCGAAGGACTTCGCATTGCCTGGTCGCTGCATGCACGTGAATCTGATCGCTGCATGCATGCACGTTCGCCCACTCCTCATCTCTTCCCGCTCCCATGCTTACCTGTGCCCTCGCTTGACGCTATAAATAGCCTCACCCTCCTCATCACTCTCCACAAACGAGCAACGCATCCTCCACTCTTCACTGCACCATCTAGCTAGCTCTTGTTAGATCGACCGGTAATGGCGTCCACCAAGGCTCTCTTCGTGCTCGCCGTTCTCCTCGCGTCGGCCGTCCTCCTCGCCGCCGCGGCCTCCGAGCAAACTCGTGAGCTCCATTGTCTTCCCTGCTCTTCACCTCTTATAATTTTCAGCATTCGCGTGCGTACGTGTTCATAACTTCTTATATGTGTGATCGCGTGCAGATGACAAGGAGGGGAAGGTGGACACCAACGGTGCCGGCGTCCAGGACGGCTGGGGTGGCGGCGGCCGAGGCGGAGGGTACCCGGGCCGCGGGGGCGGCGGCTACGGGCCGTGTGGTCGGTGGGGCTGCTGCCGCCGTGGGTACCACGGCGACTGCATCCGGTGCTGCCGGGCCGCCAACGACGTCCCGGAGGCCATGGACCGCACTGAGGTGCACAACTAGCTAGCTAGCTGGCTATGGCTTGGCTAGCAAGCAGGAGCCATGATCTGGAAGCTAGCTTCTTCCAGGGTACTTCTCGAATAAAATAAATCTCCGGTTTAGTTCATGTGATCTTTGTATGTGCGCGGATGAACGTATGTAGCTACGTACGCACGTACGTAGTCCTCTTTGTTTGGTTCGAATAATAAGAAATGTGATGCGTGTTTAGTTTGCAAGAGGGGATGCATGCATGTAGTGTGTTGTTGTGTTTCCGATCGATCGCGTGGACTGAATCTCCTTCATGTTTACGCGGAGATTGCCGAAACAATAATGCTAAACATACAAAGAGTTACACGTAATTACACGCTGATTAGGATTTTTTTCATCTACTAACCAATCATAAACTTGCCCCCCTCCCTCCCAATTTTCAGGGGGAGTGGGCCGTCTCGCCACCTATTGATCAATCAAATTAATCCTTTTTATAAAAGTTTGTAACTCGTTTGTCTTACCGAAATTACTGGTTAAGTTGTACTTTTTGCCATGGGAGGTTGGTTGCTTGTTCTTTTTATTCGTAAACTTGCTTTTTTAAAATGAAAATTCCCGTGAACCAGGCAATGCAAAGTTACAAACCGTTTACACCATCACATTTCTCATGTCGAAATCTTCAAAACTAGATCCCATGATATATATTTTGATGAACTGTTTCCGGACAAATTTATGCTCCCAAAGTGAACTAATATGTGCTCCCAAGTCGTACTAGCCTGTACTCCTAAATGAACTAACACATGCTCCCACCAAGCAAACAGAATCAATGGATCATCAAATCCCGCCAAGGATGGAGAACCTAATTTCTTTGGTTGTTTTGCATTTGATTCCTCAAACGTTACCTCATTTATATATTCACAACTATATTTCGCAGTTATATGTTCTCAGGCTTACCATATCGTGTAGATTAGTTCTGTTTAAGTCCTTAGACATAGTTCACTCTGCAATTTAGTCTTTGTACTTCTTGGTAATTGACCTGCATTGTATTTAAAATTTGCATTTGAGACCCTCAACCCAAATCTTCAACAAAGATGCCACAATTAGACCGAAGTAGTGACTCAGCAGGGCAGTTTATGGGATGCGAAATCCTGTTGAATGGTGTTTGGATGTATTATCTACGGAAGTTATAAATTTAAAATCGGGCTTAACCTTCCTCAATCTTTGGGGTGCAATACATTGCTGGTAAATTCTGACAATATGGATGTCATTAAGGCGATGAAAAAGGGAGTAGCTTTGTCGGCAATGGAGGAGCGATCTTTCATGAATGTTATCATATGCTGAGGAAGCTAATATGGTAGCACATGAGCTTGCCTCACTAGCTATTTTTTTCTTCTCCTAGTGTTTGGATTGATGATGCTCCGCCATAAATCATCCCTCCTATTGTGAAGGATGTCACTTTGGTCGCAAATGAAATAGAGGTTTTGAGTGTTAAAAAGGAGGCCAACGGATGGTAGTGTGTGCACCTTGACGTTGTTTTTTTTGTAAGGGGAATCTTGATCGTTTTAGAGTAATTGACATCCTACTTAATATCATCATCCAACTAACTCTCTCCCTAATATCAACATGCATTGCACGTACACATTTACTAGTTAGAGAATAACAATAACTACTTGAACCATTAAAAATGGGAATATAAATCCTACTTTAATTAACAGTAATTATATATACTAACATGAGGCAAACCGAACATAACCGGGCCCCATGTCCGACTCTCCTCAACCAGGTTCCAGAGAATAGACTTAATCTAAAAAATGCTTAATTGGATAAATTGAGTCTAAAATTGCCTGAATGAATTGAACCGATCTAAAAATGCTCAACCGATTCAAATTGGTCCAAAAATGTTTGACCGAGTTGAATCGATCTAAAAATACTCGACAATGCAAATTGGTCCAAAAATGCTCCATCGAGTTGAATATTTTTGGACCAATTTGAATCGGTCTAGAGACGGTACTACCTTAGTTTGAATTTGGTAATCCCCATTGTAGTTTGGCTTAAACTTTGACCACATATTTGACTAGTAGGAGTTAATGCATGTCATAAAAAAATATTGTTAGATTCGTATTTGCATGTATAGTTTCCAATGGCATTATTTTTGCTATGTGTAACTTATACTCCATCCGTTTCTAAATATAAGTCTTTCTGGAGATTTTAATACGAACTACATACGAATGTACTATATAGACATATTTTAGAGTGTAGATTCATTCATTTTGCTTCGTATGTAGTAGTCCATATTAGAATCTCTACAAGGTCTTATATTTAGGAACAGAGGGAGTATTTTTTTATAGTTAATTAAAATCATGGTCAAAATACGACCCAAAATACGAGGATGGCTATTAAACCAGGACGGAGGCAGTAAGTCGAAAATATACTTGATGTAGTGGGGAAGAGTCAAAACACTCAATGAGATTTAATTTGGTGTAATAAGAACGAGGTAAATGGAATTCAGCGTGATTAATTCAAAGCCGTGGAGTCGACCGTTGGACCTCGTTTGGGGTCCACGAGCCAGGTGGCTGGCATCCTAGGAGCAACCCCATCGGGAAGCACGTGGGGTCAAACCGAACGGCGAACGGGCCCCACTGCCAGCGGCACCCGCGGCGCCATCAAGAAGCGGCGAGTTGCGGAAACACCTTCCCAAACCCAAAGTGCCGTTGCGGCCTCCTCGCCTCACTCACTCACCCCACACCCCACCCCGCTCCCCCTCTCTCTCCCCAGCCGGAGAATTCAAACGGGAGCGCCGCACCGCCAGCGGGAGCAGCACAAGCCTCCCCGCCGTCCCACTCCTCGTCCTCGCCTCGCGCCCCGGTACCGGCGGTGGCGGCGGGCGTCCTCGGATCGCTGCTCTGGTGAGTGGTTTCTACCCTCGTGACGGAGCCTGACCCGCAGCAGACTTTCCCCCCAATTCGTCTGTGCCCCATCTGGCTTCTGCGCCCGGGAACGGCAAGTGGAGCCCTCTTGAGGCCGCCCGGTGCTCCGATCTGCGGCGGAGCCGGCGGCCATCATAGATGCCGTGCGCTCGACCGATGAACAAGTGGCTGCCGGCATTTCCGACTCCCCCCGTCCGCGGGCGCTGCAGATTTGGAAATTAGTTGCCGGAAGTGCTTTTTGGTTTCTGTATAATAAGCGTAGTGTGCTATTAATTAGGTTTCCTTTTCCCCCCGGTGGTTGATTGGGCGGTCCTTTTGTTTCTGTTTAATAACCACGACGGATTGGGTGATTTGATTAGGCGGCATGGGAACGTGACCCGTGCCGTGCGACGTGGTTAGGACCGATTGCTTGTAAATTAGTTCGTTTCTTTGGATTCGCTTCATGTAATCGTCGCTCTTTGAAATGGAGAAAAGCCGGATCTGTGCTTGAACTGCTGTGTAGTTGAATCTGGCGTTCCCTTTCGAACGATCAGACACTTTTTTTTTGAAATATCGAACTGCTGCTAGCTAGCTAGATCGATGTGTCATACTACTTCCGGAAGTAAAAGTATTTCTCAGGCCCCCAACAAGGTCTTCAATTTCCTTGGCAATTTGTCAATGTTTTTGTTTATGATGAATGATAATGAGCTGCCACTTCATTTTATATGATATTAATCTTATTGTTCTAGGAATTTTGAACCTGACCATTGTTGCATTGTTGCAGATCCTGGTGTCCCTTCCCAGACTAGTTTCTTGAGGAAGCTGGATAATTGCTATTTTGCACATCCTTCCTGGGTCCACTTCACATTGAAGACTTGAAGGACCTCGGGGATTTTACAAAATGAGTACATCGAGACCCCCAACACCAAGCACCCCTGCATCAAAGATTCAACGCACACCAATGGTTACCCCTGGTGGCAGCTCCAGAGCCCAGGAGGAGAAGATCCTTGTCACTGTGAGGGTGCGACCATTGAGCAAGAGGGAGTTGGCCATGAAGGACCAGAAGGTGGCATGGGAATGCGCTGACAGTCAGACAATCTTATACACGGGTCCGTCACAGGACCGGGCAGCACCCACCTCCTACACTTTTGGTACACTGTCCAACGATTCATCACTGAATAGCTGAAGCAATTCTGTATCGTAAAAGTGACCTTCTGAATAACCAATTCATTCCTGTATCTCTTTGCAGATAAGGTGTTTGGGCCAGCATGCCAGACAGACTTGGTTTATGAAGATGGAGCTAAGGATGTTGCTATGTCTGCATTGACAGGCATCAATGGTATACTGCTGCTCACTTTGTAGCTTGGTTGTAGTGGAACGTCGATCTGTGAGTGACCCTTTCCTTGTCTTGGTTTTGCAGCCACAATCTTTGCTTATGGTCAGACAAGCAGTGGCAAAACATTCACCATGAGAGGTGTGACAGAGAGCGCTGTCCGTGACATTTACAAACACATCGAAAACGTGAGTAGTTGTCTTTTTTATAGGCTCAGTTGTGCAGATCTGTCGAAGCAAATCATTTTGAGCAGTTATCCAAGAATGTTTTCTAACAAGTTTGAAGCAAACCATGACTTTTTCTTGCTTTTGTTGATTGCTTAGAATCCTGAAAGGGAATTTATTATCAAGATATCTGCTATGGAAATATACAATGAGAATGTGAAGGATCTTCTACGACCTGACTCTGGTCCCCTTCGCTTGTTAGATGATCCTGAGGTTTGCAATCTTGTCGAATTAATACACTATAAGTCCTATTTCATGCAGCAGCAATGAAATAATATGTATATATGATTAAACAGAAAGGAACCATCGTGGAGAAGTTGGATGAAGAAATCGCCAAGGATAGCCAACATCTAAGGCATCTAATAGGCATTTGTGAAGGTACTGCTACATATGCATAGCCTACCATCTTAGAAAAGAAGAAGATAGTGTAGTGATAGTTACCTAATGAGCTTCCAAATAACTGCAGAACAAAGACAGGTTGGGGAAACTGCACTAAACGACGCAAGTTCACGTTCGCACCAAATCATTAGGCTGGTATGTATAAGAAGAACCATTCTGGTTTAGATTCGATCTTTGTGAGGAAAGCATACAGAGGAGATGATTAACCTTTCTTTTGTGTATATGTATATCCAGACTGTGGAGAGTAGGCTCCGTGAAGCATCAGGCTGTGTTAAATCTTTTGTTGCTAACTTGGTATGCTTACTTTGCTGCTTTTGGAGAATGGTATGCTGATTATGGTCAATCCGTTCAAATTAACTTTTGCTTTGTTCGCAGAATTTTGTTGACCTTGCTGGAAGCGAGCGTGCTGCACAAACACATGCAATTGGTGCAAGATTGAAAGAAGGCGGCCATATTAATCGCAGCTTGTTGACTTTGACTACTGTCATCCGAAAGCTAAGGTTTGGATTTCTCAAAAACAAAATTTCCACTTGTACATCATTGGTTTGGATCAGATGTATTTACTGTTAGTAGCGTCTTCTCTGCACTATCATGAAATGAGTCCCCAAATTACTTGCAACTAATTCATTAGTATGAATTATATTTGTTATCTGTTGGATATGTAGCGCCTCTCAGCAAATTAGTGGGCACTTGCCTCCTAATGAGTTTCACAAGAGAGTGCACAGCACAAGTGCTCATGAACTGCATCAGACAGAACATATTGTTGCTAAGCTACTATTTTAAGTGAAACACTAAGGTTTTGCACTTCTAATTATTACAATATAAAATTGCTGAAATTATTAAGATGAACATATTCTTGCTAAGCAGATATGTTTTTCATGTTTCAGAAGTGGCTACATCTTCTTTTAGAATGCATATAATTGCTGAAATGTCATTCACATTATGTGTGTAAAAGTATTGCATGTCATTGATATCGGTTTTCTCGATTTAAATAGCAAAAATCTAGTGAGAACAGGCCATCGTTATTGGAACTCCAAAAGAAATAATTGTAAACTTGCATTGCAGCTCAGAGAAGAGAAGTGGCCACATACCCTACCGGGATTCAAAGCTCACCCGTATTCTGCAGCTTTCTTTGGGTGGAAATGCAAGAACAGCCATCATCTGCACCATGAGCCCAGCCCTAACACATGCAGAACAATCTAGGAATACTTTATTCTTTGCGACATGTGCCAAGGAGGTCACAAATACTGCAAAAGTTAACATGGTAAGAGTCAAGTGAGACTGCATTTCTTTGTCTTACCTTTAGTTGCTGAAGTCAACTCACCACTCCATTGCCCATACAGGTTGTATCCGATAAGCAACTTGTTAAGCATCTACAGACAGAAGTTGCTAGGCTAGAAGCAGAACTGAGGACCCCTGACCGTGCCTCCTCTTCCTCTGATATCCTCGCCAGAAAGATTAAGCAGGTAAGGTCTCTGACCAAGGGTGAAATACTCTGACTTTTCAGAATTCATCGAATAAGAACATTATCATTTGTAACTGGTCCTCAACAACCATGCAGATGGAACTGGAGATGGAAGAGCTACGGAAGCAACGAGATAGCGCACAGTTAGCACTTGAAGAAATACAAAAAAGGACGGGTGATAACCAGCCAGTAAGGCCCTTTCTTCCTTTCTTCTTCCAGAACTTTTGAAGTTCTGACTTGCAACTGTAAACTAAATATTATCCAAATCCATGCTTTCATTGCAGGGGTGGAATCCCTTTGACTCACCACAAAAGACCAGAAAGTGCCTCACGTTCTCTGAGCCAAGTAATAATAAGATTAAGATAAGGAGCTCGGTTAGACAATCATCCACTGCTCCATTTATGTTAAAGCATGAAATTCGCAAGCTTGAGCAGCTACAACAACAACTTGAGGTTGAAGCGAACCGAGCAATTGATGTACTGCACAAGGAGGTTGAATGCCACAAGCATGGGAACCAAGATGCAGCAGAAACTATTGCTAAACTTCAGGCAGAAATCAGGGAGATGCAGTCTGTTAGATCTGAGAACAGAGATGTTGAGATGGTTACAGATGAAGGAAATGGGTCTGATTTGAAAGATGAAATTACTAGACTTCATCTGCAGGACAGTGACATTGCCAAACTTGAGGCAAAACTAGAAAATGTGCAGAGATCTATTGATAAATTGGTGATGTCACTTCCAAATGTTGAGACTACTCCGAACTCCAACAGATCAAAGAAGAAGAGGACGCTTCTTCCACTGGGTATAAGCAACAGACCAAATCTGATAAGAGCACCTTGCTCTCCCCATTCTTCTAGCACGCCTTTGGAGTTGGAAGTTGAAAATAGGGCTCCAGAGGGGGACAAGGTGTCCCACGAGGGTTCAGAAAAGGCTACTCCCACCAAGAGTGGAGACACTGGGGATTTATCATCACGCGATGAAACTCCACGCTACAGGCGATCCAGCTCAGTGAACATGAAAAGAATGCAGAAGATGTTCCAAAATGCCGCCGAAGAAAACGTGAGAAGTATTAGGGATTATGTCACTGAACTGAAGGAGAGAGTGGCAAAACTTCAGTACCAAAAGCAGCTACTTGTCTGCCAGGTTCTGGTTTCTGATCTCACTTGATCTTGCACACACATTCAATTTGTTATGTCGAGAAATTATCTTTATTCCCCTGCTAAAACATGTTCTCTTGGAATGTTCTTACAGGTATTGGAGTTGGAATCTAACGAAGGCAAAGCAAATGAGATGGATGAAGATCCAGTTGAAAATGCTGGATCTCAACAGGATGGTCCTGAATCATGGGAGATATTATTTAAGGAGCAGATGCAGCACATTATACAATTGTGGGATCTCTGTCATGTATCAATCATACACAGGACCCAGTTCTACCTGTTATTCAGAGGGGATATGGCTGATCAGATATACATCGAGGTTGAAGTCAGAAGATTGACATGGCTGCAGCAGCATTTCGCTGAGGTCGGTGACGCAAGCCCTGCTGCACTTGGTGATGACCCAGCAGTTTCTCTAGCCTCAAGGTAAATACGATGACAAACCGACATGCTTCTAGTGTCTTTTGGTGATATTGTTCTACCCTGCTTTGTTACCTACATCATTCAACTCGTCCCGTGTAGGTGTTATTTGTCTCCAAAATGGTTTTCTTACTTCTTACAAATTCCATCCATTTGTGCATTGCTGCAGCATGAAGGCGTTGAGGAATGAGCGAGAATTTCTTGCGAGAAGGATGGGCTCAAGGCTGACAGAAGAGGAGCGGGAGCGCCTCTTCATCAAATGGCAAGTCCCCCTCGAGGCGAAGCAGCGGAAGCTGCAGCTTGTGAACAAGCTCTGGGCAGATCCCAACGACAAAGCGCACATTGAAGAGAGCGCCGACATAGTGGCCCGGCTGGTTGGCTTCTGTGAGGGTGGGAACATCAGCAAGGAGATGTTTGAGCTCAATTTTGCGCTCCCTGCAAGTAGGAAGCCATGGCTGATGGGCTGGCAGCCAATCTCAAACATGATCAAGGAGAAAACTCGCCAGTTGGTCTCGACTCCATTACAGTGAGGAAAAAGGAGCTGATATATTTCATATTGGGGATGGGATTCACCAAGGTGAACTGGCACTGAGATGTTCTATATTGGTGATATACGTAGATAGCTCAAAACCTTTGTTGGTCATCAAGGAAGGCTGCGAAATTTGCTTGAGATATGTAGATAGCTCAAAATTCTTTGGAATGTTCATGACTTGTTGTCATCTACCTTCTGCATGTATTAATTTTGTAGAATGTTCATAACTTGTCAGTGATTCTTGGATGAAAATAACTCAAGAGGCAATTGTCGGTGCTTAAAAGATTTTGGACTTGTTCAATCAGGTGGTTGATTTCTAGGGCTTAACGTTTCAGGTTCAGTATGCAAAATTTTAGACTGTTCACAGAATTTTTATCATTGGAACTTCTGCATTTGCTATTGTCATCGAATGCAACACACAATTTAATACTTTTGGCAGAGTGGAGTGTGTTGTGCCAGCCTAAAATCAGAGTGACAATGAGTATTTTGTGGATTGCTTCAAAATATACTTGAACAGGACATTATCAAATTTGCATTCCTGACTCTGAAAAGGTAAACACTGAAAATGACTTCAAAAAAGTACCCCACATAAACACTGAAAACAGCATCAGCAAAAATAACTAAAACAGTCATGAATCATCAGATGCATGGAAGCTGGATGAACATAGCGAGCAGAAGCATATTGTTTGTGGCTGCAACCACAACTAGGTCCAGGCATGTGAACACACCACCACAAATAGGTTTAGGGTGTGTCATTCTCCCAACACATGACTCTTACATATTAGAGTTCGATAAAATTAAGCTTGCCTACAACAAAGTACATATACAAATTCACCTCCTACAACATGTCTCGCTGAAATATGCTGCACACGGACATATATAGTGAAGTACATAATGGATAGTTCCTGATAAATAATACCAGGGCTCGAGTACTATATCTAGCCAGCATATTTGCATCACCATCTTGTATATCCTCCATTTCTTCTCAAAAGCATCGCATAGCCCAAACAAGAGACTCCAAATGTGTTTGTCCCTGCAGATGTGTTTTAGTTAACTCTAATAAGAAACTCACAATATGCAATAGATTTGCTACCATAGGTAGGCTAAGGCCTGATATGCAAAACTGAAAATACAGTATTAAAGAATCAAAGCACATAAGCTGTTCGGTCACTATTTCAAAGAGTCCAAGAGCCATCATGTTCCAGTTAGGAAGCGATACAGACAAAAGGTAGCAAAAACAAAAGATCTGAATGGTAAATTAAAGCCTCATGTTCCCAAGGCCTACAATGTCTTTGCTGGAATGAAATGAAATTGCGGTCACATGGCAGTTGCTGAACAAGATGGAGACAAATGAAATCATGGCCACCTTCCCTGGTTTGATAAGTTATCATAATATCATAAAACAATATTTTGCTGCATGAACAATTAGGGCAGCAAAGCACAACGAACATGAGCAAAAATGGACTTACCGCTTCATATACTTGGTTTTGACAAAGATGGAGGGAAGCCAAAGTACCAGTAAACATCTTCATAGTGGAAGAATTCCCTCCTCCTCCTACAAACCTTTGCAAGTTCAGAAGTCTTGACATCCAGCGAAAAATAATCTACATCCCAGTCAGTCTTCGACAACCACACTGGTGAGTCTTCATCAATATCCAACTGGTCTTCTGAAGTGGCTCCAAGGAATAAGAATCCCTCAGTCGCGCCCAAGGTGAAATAATCATACTGGCCAGGCAACTGTATAATGTTCTCCAGCTGCCATTCCTTGGGAGATTCACTGTTAGTATCCTGAGCTGTGTGATAGAGATGAAACGATCCATTTGGACTGTGATCCCCGACAAGAGAAAACATCTCAAGTGCTCCTTCTCTACCCACTACAATGGCAGGCAGACTTCTTACTTGAGCAGGGCGGAGTCTGCCCAGCCCATTGTCTCTGGCAGAAACTCCTTCTGCCTGGCCAGGGAGCCATCTGAGCTGCATATGGTAGCCAGTGCGATCATTGACAGTGGAAATCTCCATTGTCCGCGTGTCCAGCACGAGCAACCTGTCTTTCCATGGCGACGCCGAGTAGAAGCAGCCACGTACATAGTCAAAACAGGAGAAGCCACGGGATTCCCCAAACACCACGCGCAGCCCCCATGGGCGGTCCGCGCCCAAAGAAATCCAGCTGGGAGATGCAGCAATGCACCACTGGCGTGTGACTGAAGAGAAGACAAACACATCCAGCTTGGTTTCATAGTCCGCAAAGCATATCACCTTGAACGACGTCTCATCCTCATCCTCCTCGGCAATGGGAGCCAGGATGGACCTGAATTCCCAAGGGCGCTGTTCCTGGACTGACATGTGCTCGGGCATGGGCGGAAGCAGCACGTAGCGCCGTGACAACGGATCGCACACCGCGAGCTCTCTGAAGGTCCCGTATCGGCTGCTCTCGAGGAGGACGCGGCCGTCGCGGACGTTGCAGGGACGCCAGGAGTGGTCATTACTGGGCTTGGGGACGAAGGAGTAGGTGAAATCAGCGGTGTCGGCGAGGGCACGGGCGAGCGGCGCGGAGGAATGGGGCGCCTCGGCGGGGTGGAAGCCTGCACGTTCGTCGGCGAACCCGAGGAGCGGCGGCGGGTGGAGTTTGCGGAAGCGGCGGAGGAAGGAGCGGTCGGTGATGATGCGGCGGAAGCGGGGGGAGGTGGTTGAGGCGCGTGCGAGCGCGGCCGGGGTGGGCAGTCGGAGGAAGATCTCCTCCAGGAGCTCGTCGACGAGGTGTGACGCCGAAGGGGCCATGGCGGGCGGGGGTGCGGCCGCTGGGGTGGGAGGAGATGGGGACAGGGGTTTCGTTGGAGGGGTCACACAACAACAACAGGGAGTGACGAGAGGGTTCCTGGGCCGGACCGTGCTGGTCCAGCTGTTGCGTCGCTAACAGAGCTGGCCATCTGGGCCGTGCCAGCCAGGCTGGCCATCTGGGCCGTGCCAGCCAGGCCTTTTATTTCTTTTCTCACGTTCGTGAAAGCCTAGTTTTGGGAAGCTTCCCAAACCAGTTTTCCTGGTTTGTGGTTCAGTTACGGTTTTACTTGGGTTTTTCTCTTTATAAAGAATTTCTTGTTTTTAAAAATTAGATGTTTTTTGCGATTTTTTTTAAAGAACTCCATTTTTTCCAAATTTATGAACTCTTTTTTTTTCAAAATCAATGAAATTTTTGACAGATTTGTGAACTTTTTTTTTCAAAATTGATGAACTTTTTTATTCAATGATTATTTTGCAAATCAATCAATGAATTTTTTTCAATTATGATGAACTGTTTTCAAAACTGATGAACTTTTTCAAATTTGTGAACTTAAAAAAAATCATGTACATTTTTTAATTCATGTTTTTTTCTAAAGTCAATGGTTGAATGATCAACCGTGTTCATCAGCTGTAAAGCGACGTGACCGAGCCAGGAGGGAGCCAGGGAGCGCGCGTTTTGGGCCGGACCCAAGAGTGTGGTTGCGTGGGCGCCTAAAACCGGACATGCACAAAGCATATGACCGAGTGGAGTGGCCTTTTTTGAAGGAGATTATGTTGAGACTGGGATTTCAAGAAAACTGGGTGAACTTAGTTATGCAATGTGTATCCATCGTGGAGTACCGGGTTCGCTTCAATACAGAGGAAACTAAGAGTTTTAAGCCAACGAGAGGTTTGAGACATGGAGACCCTCTATTCCCCTACTTATTCTTGTTATGTACGAAGAGCCTGATTGCTCTCTTGGCTCATGCGGAGGAGAATGGAAACATGTCTGGAATAAAGGTTTACAGAGATGCCCCATCAATTCGAATCTCCTCTTTGCTGATAATTCTTTGATTCTTATCTGAGCCAATACCATGAACGCGGAAGCTTTAAAATCAGTCCTGGACTCTTATTGTGCCGCCTCAGGGCTGATGGTGAGTGTTCAAGAATCTAGCATCTTATTTAGCCTCAATACAAAAGTGGAAGACATGGCGCAAATTTGTCCGATTCTGGATATTATGACTGAAGCTCTCAATGACAAATATTTGGGTTGCCAACATGGGTATGGACAACAGTGAGTGTTTTCAATTCCTGATTGATCGTATTATACAAAAAAATAGTGGATGGAAAGAGAAATTATTATCCGTTGGAGGGAAGAAAATTTTGCTCATATCTATTGCGCAAGCTATCCCCGCCTATGCCATGTCCATCTTTAAAATTCCTAAAAAATTGCAAGGGAATCATTGACGTGGTGTCATAATTTTGGTGGGGAGACGAGGACAATCAGAAGAGGATGCATTGGATGGCTTGGTGGAAGATGTGTGTCCCAAAAATCAAGGAGGTATGTAATTCCGGGATATTCATTGTTTCAGTCTAGCATTACTAGCTAAACAAGCATGGCATCTCCTTGATAATCCGGATTCTGTATGTGCCCATCTATTGAAAGCTAAATATTTTTCTGATGGCGATTTGATGAATGCAAGCTTAAAAAAGGTCACTTCTTTTATGGGCAAAGCATTATGGCGGGAGTTAATTCACTGAAAAATGGTTATATCTGGAGAATTGGAAATGGATAAAATATCGATATTTAAAAAGATGTTTGGATCCCGAATTGTGCAAATAGGAAAATTATTACTCCTAGAGGAGGGCACCTTCTGTCCAAGGTCTCTGATCTTATTGATCCAGTCACGAACTTTTGGGATGAAGATTTGGTGAGGCAAACATTGTGGACAAATGATGCTCGACGACTTCAGCTATTCCCCTCTCTATGCATAGTATGTCGAATTTCATTGCTTGGAGCTATACAAAAAATGATTTGTTCACTGTTCGATCTGCTTATTTGGTGGAATGGAATCATCAACGTGGGAAAAAAATTGCAATATACAAATGGTATGGGTAGAACCAGTGTTAACCCTGTCTCGTCTAAGATTTGGAAATTTTCATGTATGGCAAAGGTAAAGATCTTTATTTGACGTACGTTGCAGGGAACTCTCCCGTGCCAGGTTACGCTTGCAAATAGACACATAAATTTTTTGCCAATCTGCCCATCATGTTCGAATGGGCCAGAAGATACAAATCACGTTCTATTTCTTTGTCAGAAAGCGAAGGAGGTTTGGAAGAAGTTGGGAATGAATGAGGTGATTAAAATAGCTTGTGCTATTGATTGTGCGGGTGAGGAGGTACTTGAATTCTTATTCCTTATGCAAGACCATTGTAGTGACCAGACCTCAAACAGTCTGATCTCTGTGCTCCGGTGTCATTCCTGGATCAGTAATGCTGACACCACATAGTACTCGGAGGATTTATAGCAGAGTAGCAATCACACACTTATTACATCGAGTGTCTCATAAGTGAACTTATTACAATAAATATGGCTTAAGGCCATATAATAACAATAACATCGGAAGGCTTGGAAGATAAGTGAGTCCATCAACTCCAACGACATCACTGAGTATAGAACCACGACCTAAAACTCCTTAATCATCGTCTGAAAAGTCTGCAACATTAACGTTGCAGCCCAAAAACGGGTCAGCACATGGAATATGCTGGCAAGGTAACACATAGAGAGTAATGGAATGAAACAGCTATACTATATGCATATTTGGCTGGTGGAAAGCTCTATGGTTACAGTTTTGCGTAAAACCAATTTTTCCCTACTTCAAAGGAATAAAATTTAATTACTATCATGGTAGTTGTTAAACATTGAGAATGGTTGACAACATTCTCAATCCCAATTAAACATCATCATTAAACATAACCCAACAAAATTAATTTAGAGTAACATGTTGAGATTCACATGATAATCCAGGTACTAGATACTCAAGATGTCCATAACTGGGGACACGGCTAATCATGATTTGTTTATTACACTCTACAGAGGTTTGCGCACTTTTCCCCACAAGACTCGATCGCCTCCGTTTGGTTTCTCGCACTACATGGTGTTTGAGAAGACGGATGACCGAGACATAGTCTTTCAGAAGCGCTAGCACCTTACGATCGGGTAGACCGTACCACCTACATCCCCTACATCTGCTAGTCTACCACTGTAAGAGTTCACACGACTTAGTCAACTATGCTAGAGCCCATAATAGCTTGTGGCTGCACACTGAAGTTTCTAGTATGAATAGTCTCATGATCCCTTTGAGCCTGGGTGGCGGTCCAAAAGAAAATAGGCAAGTCCTGGAATACCCAGGTGCCTCAATCCACCCAGATGTGTGTTTAAGTTGCCACCTTAGATAAACCATTAATTAACAAACTCACATCTTTCATGGATATCACTCACCCAATCCACGTCTACTAGCATAGCTTGGCATAATAAGTAAACGTAGAAGTAACTCCCAAAGGTTTGATAATAAACAGGTAATAGGTACTACCTCAACTACTTCCCATCCCACAATTTAATTAGATCCTAATCATGCAATGTGTGAGGATTGATCTAATGCAATAAAACTGGGTAGTAGGAAAAATATGATCAAAGTGTTACTTGCCTTGCTGATGATCCGCGAAACCTAGAGATTCGAAGTAACAAGCGGCGTGAAAGGATCGATATGGTTGACTAGAGGGGGGGGGGGTGAATAGGCAACTACCAATTTTTAGCTTTTCTTTACCAATATTAAACTTTGCATCAAAGTAGGTTGTCTAGATGTGCAACTAGGTGAGCAACCTATAGGATGCAATAACAACAAGCATACAAGCAAGCAAGGGTAGAAACAATAAAGAGCTTGCACAAGTAAAGGTAAGAGATAACCAAGAATGGATCCGGTGGAGACGAGGATGTGTTACCGAAGTTCCTTCCTTTTGAGGGGAAGTACGTCTCCGTTGGAGCGGTGTGGAGGCACAATGCTCCCCAAGAAGCCACTAGGGCCACCGTATTCTCCTCACGCTCTCACACAATGCGATATGCCGTGATTCCACTATTGGTGTCCTTGAAGGCGGCGACCGAACCTTTACAAACAAGGTTGGGGCAATCTCCACAACTTAATCGGAGGCTCCCAACAAGACCACGAAGCTTCACCACAATGGAATATGGCTCCGAGGTGACCTCAACCGTCTAGGATGCTCAAACACCCAAGAGTAACAAGATCCGCTAGGGATGAGTGGGGGAATCAAAAATCCCTTGGTGGAAGTGTAGATCGGGGCATTCTCAACCACTCCCGAGCAAATCAACAATTTTGATTGGCTAGAGAGATAGATCGGGCGGAAATGAAGCTTGGAGTATTTAATGGAGCTTGAGCAATAAATGGAGCTTGGGGGAGGAAGAGGTAAGTGAGAAGGAAGAAGGGGACTCCCTTTTATAGTGGGGGAAACAATCCCGTTGCCCCCCACCAACCAGCCCCGCATAGGGCGGTACTACCGCTGAGAGGGGGCGGTACTACCGCCAGGCGACGGTACTGCCGCGCCAACCAGCGGTACTGCCGCACTGAGGAGACTTAGTAGGGAACGGACCCAAATGCGGTACTACCGCGGTGGTAGGGCGGTACTACCGCTCCTGGAACGGTACTACCGCCACTACAACCGTGACTAGTGCCGCAAAACCCGACACGAGAAAAAGACCTCTCGAATCGAGGCGGTAGGAGCCAGACTACCCAGCGGTACTACGACAGTGGGGTCAAGGGCGGTAGTACTGCTGTGGAGCGGTACTACCGCTTGTGACCCTTCGGCCGTAGTACCGCAGGCAGTGCGGTACTACCGCTGGGGAGCGCGCGAGAGAGAAGGGATCTCTCAAATATGCTGAGGACACGGCGGATGTGCCAGGCCCCCAGCGGTACTACCGCTGCGAAGCGGTACTGCCGCTTGTGGCT